CTCTCTCTCTCTCTCTCTCTCTCTCTCTCTCTCTCTCTCTCTCTCTCTCTCTCTCTCTCTCTCTCTCTCTCTCTCTCTTTCTCTCTCTCTCTTGCGACTGCGCGCCTGGGCATGCCCGCCACTCTCGCTTTTCTTGTATTTAGCGCTTGCCATCGACTTGTTCTCTCACGCGCCCACCATGGTCTCTCTCTCTCTCCCCGCGAGGGAGCGCAAGCGTGCACGTGCAGTTCTTTTTTGGAAAAAAAGGGTTACCATGGACCACGGAGAACATCTGAAAACCAATCGGAACGGATACTACCCTTGAGTCTCTCTCTCTCTCTCTCTCTCTCTCTCTCTCTCTCTCTCTCTCTCTCTCTCTCTCTCTCTCTCTCTCTCCCCCTCTGTCTCTCTCTCTCTCTATCTGTATCTATCTCTCGTGCGCGTGTGTGCATTTCCCCCCCCCCTCCTCTTTAAAAGGGGTCCTGATGGAGCATGGATCAGATATGAAACTGATCCTAACAGATATACACTTGATTGTGTTGTTCGGTGGGGAGGGGGGAGATGGCAGTCGCAGTTGGCTGGATTGAGGTCTCTCTCTCTCTCTCTCTCTCTCTCTCTCTCTCTCTCTCTCTCTCTCTCTCTCTCTCTCTCTACTGCGTGCGTGGGCACGCCCGCTGCACTCACTTTTCTTGTACTTAGCACTTGCCATCGACTTTTTCAATAACACGCCCACCATAGTCTCTCTCTCTCGCGCCGGTGCGCACACGTACTGTTTTCTTTTTTTTGTTGTTGTTAAAAAAAGAATGGTCCCCATGTACCACGGATAACATCTGAAAACGGATCGGAACGGATACTACACTTGACAAGTCTCTCCCTCTCACGTTCTCTCTCGCGCGCGCGTGCCTGCATTCCCTTCCCCCCCCCCCCTCTTTAAAAGGGGTCCTGATGGACCATGGATCAGATACGAAACTGATTGGAACAGATACGACACTTAATCGTGTTGGGGAAGGGGGGCTCTCTCTCGATGGACCACGGATCAGATATTAAACTGATTGGAACAGATACTCCACTTGATCGTGCCGGGGTGGGGGGCGGGCATAGTCAGTTAGATTGGTCTCTCTCTCTCTCTCTCTCTCTCTCTCTCTCTCTCTCTCTCTCTCTCTCTCTCTCTCTCTCGTGCCCGCGTGCATGTGCACGTGCGTTTTTTTCTTTTTTTGGAAAAAAAAAGGGTCCATGGATCACGGACAACTCCGATAACATATGAAAACCGATCGGAACGGAGGGGGGGTCGTAGTTCGTTATATTGGGGTGGGGGTAAGCGGACGCTGGGGGAAAGTGCAAGGGCGGAGGGGGGTGAAAGGTGGAGAGCAGCGCAGGAAACTATGTAGGAGTGCAGGCGGAGGGGAGAGGAGGCCGGAGGGGAGCGCAGGCGGATGGGGAGCGCACGCAGAATGTGGGGCGCGTGGTGGGGAGGGGGTCTCTCTCTCTCTCTCTCTCTCTAGAAACTCTGATGGAACAGTTTTTTTTTTTGTTTTCTTTTAATGGGTTCCAATTGACCACGGATCAGATAGGTCTTGTCGGGGTGGGGGGGCAGGCATTCTTTAGTTAGATTGGGCTCTCTCTCTCTCTCTCTCTCTCTCTCTCTCTCTCTCTCTCTCTCTCTCTCTCTCTCTCTCTCTCTCTCTCTCTCTCTCTCTCTAGATCGTGTGCACACGTGTGCCAGACAGCTCTGGGCCCTGGCCTGACAGGGTCTTACCCCCTTGGACCTGAACCCTGCTGCGGGACCTCAGGTCCTGGCAATTGGGATGCCTTCCTTGTGTATGGAGTTTGCCTTCTTCACGAGGGTTTTGCCTCATTTCGTTTGTGTTCCCCTGAGTTCAATGGTCAGGGACCTGTGACTGACTTGGCACTCTTCACGTGAGCAATTAAAGCGAGCACATAGGGAAACGAGGTGGCGCAGTCTTCAACATATAAATGCATCACTGGCGTCTTAAAATAAATCGAGCAAGCTCACAGGTCACCTTGGTTCCAATGCCTGTAGCCTTCATGTCGCCAAACAGCTCGGTGGCTGGCTCTTGTTAGAGGTCGTACTTTTTTTTCGGTTTCCTGCAGATAACCTACTTGTTACAAGTTACAACCCAATCAATGTATGTGGATCATTCACTTCCAAATCTAAGCGAAGAAGACCTTCGAACTTTGTACCTTCCGAGGTGTTCCAGCACATCGCGAGATTACGAGGTTCATATCAGAACCTCAGGATGCTTTTTGGACTCCGTCTTCATCTCTTGTGATTGAATTGAAACGATAACGAGTGTTGTTTCCCCAGAGCTATCAGACTCTTTATTGTATTACTGGTACATGTAACTTTTTTTTTTCTTTTTTTTTTTAAAGCTGGCTTCTCTTCGTACGGGGGACGCCTATATATATTTTTTTAGCAGGGGTTATGGGAAGTGATCAAATGCTGTCAATTAGTTCCTACACTGCTCAATGCGGGGAGAAGAACCCAGGCTCCTAACACCTGGCTGCGGCTGGGAGGAGGACCCCGACCCAAACCAACCAGGAGGGGCAAGCCGACTATCTCAGCTGGTGAACCCATAACATGCCGCAGGAGGCCGTGTGGGTGAAAGACGTGGGGAATCGATCCCACGACCTCCTGAATTACTTTCCGTTGCCGGTATATCAAATTATCAAGATGACTGCCCCACAGTGGAGTGGTAGTTGACTGCCAGATCTTTCGTCCCGCGACAAGGCGTTCCACTACCGGACACTGAACGGTTCATGCCCATACCCTTTGCAGCAGTGTTTGTGGTTCTTCCTCGAGTCAATAGTCTAAATATATTCATCCATATCCCTGATGATTGTTGGGGAGAATTAGCCTTAGGAGATATCTGTCATTGGGTTCCAATAGTGGACAGTGCGGCTGTCACTTCCAAGTGATATGCACATCATGGCCTCGCGAAGGAGAAACAGCAAGCTGGAAACAGGTCATAGGAACAAAAGCGGCGATAACAGCCAATGGCAGCAGGTCTGTGGCAGAGGGGTTACGGTTTAGTATGCGTACCTCTCAAGGGATCAATGTACTGTTTCCCATTGACAGTGAGGGATGGCTTCGAGCTCATTTCCTTCAACCATGGAGATGCAACTCCATTTGGCCGCGGCAATGAAGGTCTGCTTGCAGCAATCGAGCGGGGATCCAATGAAGGTCTGCTTGCAGGAATCGGGCGGGAATCCTGACTGAAGCTGCTTTGCGAGGGAGGCTTAGTCAATTGCATGGATGTTGCCGGTCTGGTGCACTCAAGCACAACGCTGAGCCTTATGCAGGTTCCAGGTCCATCTTTTGGGATCACCTGGATGCTACCGCCCATCATCTGGACCAACGATCGAACGATGCTGAGTCCTAGGCCTGTGCCACCATGTCTGATTCGCAAAGCCCCTCAAATATCCCAGGCCCAAAAAAGTAGAACATGTCCCACCAAATCCACAGCAACAGGCATCACAAAAGAGGAAAGAGAGCAAACACATTCTTTATCAGCTCAAGCCCTGAGGAGATGGGCACAGGCTCCAGATGGAGAGTGCTTGTGTAGTGGTTCCACCTCCAGATTCATATTGACCTTTTGTGTTGGATGCCTTATTCAGCAAAAAACACAAGTGGGCATGTTGATGATGCAAACTCACCCATCCACAACCAAGGATTAGGATTAACCTCCAAGTACAGAGAGCAAAACCAAACTCAAAGTGTGCCTGCAACAAAGCCGTGAGATAAAAAGCACAATCAACAAGACTAGACCTCAAGTCATAGAAAATGGAAAGCACACATATGCTGTAAAAGACTCAACCTGATAACTTCCCCAAAATGTCAATTTATACCACTAAGTAGAAAGGACAATGTTTCAGCAAACGCCATTCACACAAGAGAGAAAGGGAACGCAATCAAAGACGTGAAATTCTCTATTCAAAACCTGTGCAAAGTACCTTTGGTGGGGGGAAACAGGCGACGGACACCATAGAGAGAAGTGATAGGAAGAGTCTCACACTCACACAGCACACCAATGCTGCCCAGCGCTAGCCTCCCTCTCAAGTCCAGAAAATTCTTGGCATCCAATCCCAAGAAGATCCTCATCTGCCTAAACCAGGTTTAACCCGCAAGGGCCTCAACTATCAAATAGTCCCTCAATCAAACACAGCATGGCTTATGGTAATCCTATGGCATCAAAGACGGTAGATGGTCACAATGAGGGAATACACCGGGGTGTAGCAACTCTCTCTCTCTCTCTCTCTCTCTCTCTCTCTCTCTCTCTCTCTCTCTCTCTCTCTCTCTCNCTCTCTCTCTCTCTCTCTCTCTCTCTCTCTCTCTCTCTCTCTCTCTCTCTCTCTCTCTCTCTCTCTCTCTCTCACCAGCCCACTCACAAACACACACACACACACACACACACACACACACACACACACGCACTTGTGTAGCAAAACTCTCTCCCTCTCTCTCACTCACACACACACACACTTGAGTGTAGCAACTCTCGCTCTTTCTCACGTGCTCACTCACACATACCCACTTGAGTGTAGCAAGACTCTCTCTCTCTCTCAAGCTTACTCACACACACACAAACACACACACTCTCTCTCTCACTCGATGAAATACATGTGTGCTTCAGTGTGCACTGCATGCTTGTGCACAAGGCACACTGACCATCTAACTGCAGATATGGCTACTGTATTTGAAGGCCTCTTCAAAAGGTTGGTGGAAATCCTCGTTAATGTCACTGCATTCTTCCCCATCATCCACTTCGCAAACTAACCGACGCTCACCTCCACCCTAGTTGACCTCCTGCGCATTTCACCAGCTAGCTTCAGTTATGGCGGCTGCTCCTTCCATCGCCAGGGTGGGAGATGATGCTGGTTGACACATCTTCTTGCTCAAAGCAGATGCAGCTCACATCACTGCCCTGGCCATGGCTCACCATCCCCAGGATAAGAGATGATCCTGGTGGACAAAAAAAAGCGTGCTCGAAGCCGATGCATCCACTATTCTAGTTCATTGACTTCGGATAGTAAGGTCCCCATTTGTTACACAGCAAAACACAGTCCGCAACAAAATGGGCAGATGGTAAGCGAAGGGATGAGGAAAGCTGTTGCCAGATTTGAGGAGGTTTTACATTCATACGTACATCCTGGTGGTAGATGCATCTGCTTGCACAAAGCTCTCAAACACACTCTCCCATTTCTCTGGCTCAATTCCTGCAGGACAATGGTCACATGTAGTGAAAAACAGAGGAGGTAGCAAAAAAAAGGAATTCAATATGTGCATCTCCTCGGCAGCGATATCATCGCAATACAAACGACAAGTGCACTGACGAGGATGCGGTGGATATCAAAATGGCAGATGTTGTTCAAGGATCAAGTACGGTGAGAATGAAGTATGTACATGGAGAAATAGGTAAGGTAGGTAGGGTGTTGATCTGTAAGTGAACAGTGGTTCTGGCTACACAACACTACTGTTGCTAGCGCTGCTGAGATGGGGGTAATGGTTGGGGTGATGCCAGATCTTTGAAAGAAGCACGGAGGAAAAAAATTAAAAATCCATATCCGCAGATTCTGCACACATCCAGATCACAGCATCCAGACCCAACAGCCCAGGAAAAGGCGGTCCATTTCCATTCTGACATTCGGATATCGGATGTCCTGATGCAATCCGGTCAAAGCATTGGTACACCCATGAACTGTTGAAATACAGACCCAAGTTTGAATCCAGATGTTGGAGCTTGATGAGTAAAACCAAATCATTCTGAATTGCCTGGGGCCGGTCAGCTCAATGATATCTCATGGCCGTCGCCCCTTATAAAAAAAAAAAAAGCATTCTGATGGTTCGTTGTACGGAATCGAATACAATCATCGTGAAAAGTTCATACGATCCATTGGCTGCAGTCTCCGCGCACAAGGACACAGGTTGCACGATTCTTTCCCGGTTGTTTAGGGTAACTTTATACCGACATTCAGCAATGAGCACATGCATCCCAAGCAGTAACCTCAGTTACCTGGTGGTTGGTTTATCGGGAGCCCTAGCTTCATATCAGTCTCACCTAAAGGCTGAAGGTAGAAGGGGAACTGTGTTAATGCTCCCCACAATAGGAGCCATGGACATAAGCTGCATTACTGATTTTCCCATTTCGAAATTCGGAGTCTAAAAAGAGTATGAAATTCGGAGTTCAAAAAGAGTACGAAATTCGGAGTTTAAAAAGAGTACAACATCTGTCCTTCCCGACATCCGTTAAAATTGGACGGATACGGAGAAGACTAGCATGGACCCTGCACAAGGATGACTTGCATAAATCGAGAAATGGTCCAAATTTGAAAAAAATAAATAAAAAAAAAAACAAAAAAAAACGAAATATCTGAGAGGCAACGGGATCTCATCATCTGCTTACCACAGCCTGTGTCTTCTACCTCGAAGACGATGGATGCCATTTCTACCCTTCCACTTGTTCTCTGGCTTTCCATATGAATTATGGTGTGATCGCTTGGCTTCTTGTCTGTTTCTCTATGCTCCAGCCACCCACGCACCAGCACCCATCCTAACGACGTGAATTTAACCGCATTCGATATGAGGTTTGCAAAAATTTGGCGCAGCCTTGCAGGGTCCCCTCTGACGCATTTCGGGATATCATCTGCAACGCCACAGCAGCAGCAGCGTACACGTCAGATCAAGCAACATTTTTTGCATCTTCCAGACTTTGGGCATTGCAGCAGTGTACGCGTCGGATCAAGCAACATTGTTCGCCTCTTCCAAGACTTAATGCAATGCTCCACCACTCACCAAATGTGACAATTGGCACGCGTATCTTGCCACCTTCTGTGCCAAGATATTTCAGCCATTCCGCAAATTTGCCGTGCAGTGGAGCAAAGCCCTTGATCACAACCCTTCCTTTACAAATGCCACGTGTCGATTACATTTTCGGCATTTTTTCGACAAATGACGAATTCATTCAGAACGACCTCAATTGACTTTCTGAGCACAAAGCAGTATTGATCAGCAGGCAGTGGGACTCCATTCCAGCTTGTACCTTCAGAAAATGCTTGGATCTTGGCACCGAAATCCATCCGACAATATCGGCAAGGCTGGAACGTAAGGGGAATTCGATAAGGGAAGGCCAGCTGACAGCCAATCCTCCGGGGAAATGGAGTAATCAATGCTGCTCAGAGGTCCTTCGGCCTTAATGGAAGGAAGTGTGTGTTATAGATTTTTCACCACAACAGCCCCTGTTCCGCCCAGATGAGTAGATCCAAAATCAAAGCAACTTTACCTATATTGCAGACAATGCAGCACACCTGCAATGAGCCAATCCAGCAACGGAACGGTTGTACCTCTATCGTCGTCGTCCGCGTCATTCATAGTTCCACCTCTATCGTTGTTGTAGTCGTCCGAAAATCTGGTCTGACCTTGCGACCAGGGGACATTCATATTGAACACACGAACTGCGCACTCTGCTCCGTGCCAATCATTCCCACCCCTGCCCTGCTCTTATGGCGCCTTAACCCACAGTCCTCTCCCTCCCCTGGTTGCTCCACATTGGCACACATCATTCGCACCTCGACAACCTCATCGAGCATGCAATGGATACACTCGGCATGGCTGCACAGCTCATAAACGCACATCGGCATTGGCATCGACAGTCCTTCTGGAGTCTGGACTTCATCACTGGGACACCCACTATATCTGCTGATTCCCCTCCATTTCTCCTCATCCTTGTCTTCAGCCATCCTCGGGTGCTCCAAGTATGGCACACAACATTGGTTGATGAACACGATGATCTCCTTCATTATTTTCCCTTTTTTTTTAACAATCTTTATTATTCAGGCTGGAAAGCGGATCCAGTGTGTCCCTTACATATAACTCCCACTCCACGCTTCTTTCCATTATGGCTGAAGAAAATTTTAGACCATTTCTCAATTTATGTGAGTCATCCTCGTGCAGGGACCATGCAAATCTTCTCCATATCGCTCCAGTTTTAACGATGTCCAGAAGGATTGTTTGTACACAGGTGCAACATAATTCCTGGACTCACATGGGCTTGGCCAACAAAGTCATTATCAATTGGAAGATTGAAACACCCTGCCTTTCATGTCAGGTTACTCATTCTCAGATGGCCACATCGCGCTAGGGTATATGGATTTTCGGATCATTTTTCTGAGAGAAAAACGGAATTTTTTTTTGGAGCCCGTTACAGGGCTGCTCTTCTCCCAACTTTGATGGGTGCTAACAGGAACGAGAATGCCATCTCTAGCGAGCCCTCCCCCCCCCCCATCTGCGGCAGGATGTTGTCATTGACAATTACCAGCCAGGTGTTGCATCAAGCAGCTTCACACTCGTGCATACTCAACAACCACACCACGCACATTGCAGCTCCATGATTAACATAACATGATCATAATCAAGACCCTATCTTCCCTTCACATTCAATTCTTGTTCTTTCTCATTTCTTAAACTCTTCCTTGCCTCCCCCCATCTCTCTTACGCTTCCCTCCCCCTCGATCATTCTACTCATCTCGTCCTCCATGCCATCTATCTCTTGTTCATATGCTAATGCATCCACCCCTCTCTGCCTTAGCTTCTCAATTCCCCACTTCGTCTTTCACATCAGCTCTTCCGCATCACCCTTGTTACCTTTGAGATTTTGTCGGTTCCCTTACGATTGGCATTCTTTCCACCCACCTCCATCTCTTTTTTTCAGAAGGGCAACGTCCTTGAGATATCATCATTGAACCCAACCGGCCCCAGGTAATTCAGAACTACATTTTTCTGTTCATCTGATTGCATCTGGATTCGAACTTGGGTCTGATTCATATTTCCAGCAGTTCATTTGGGTGTACCAAATGAGCTTGACCCGTTAGTGACCCACCTCAGTCGCACATTTCCCTCTTGTCCTTTTTCAAACAGAACAAGTGATTTCCAATTGGATAGTTTTTGCCCCACCAATGCCAGGTGAAGGTTGCAGAGATTTGTGAGGGTTTGCTCCTCTAGACTGAAGGCCCAATAGCTTCCGAAAAAGATGGCTGGCCACCCATCTCCCACTTTCCGTTTGCAGGGAGTGTTCAGATGTACCCTAGGCCAGCACTGCTAAGCTCTCAACTGGCCACCACCATGTATTCTTGATGAAAGAGGCTGTGAGGGTGCTTGTCGCTTGACTATTTTCCCACATTCAGTGATGAGCTCTCCGAAGTTGCGCCAAGCATTCCTTGAACTTTCTTCGGCTGTTATATGTGGCACCCCCATCACATCTGCTTGCCCAATGGAGACTCCAAAACACGGTCCAATAGAGGGGAGTCCTCTAGTGACTACGCTGCGGTGTTGCAAAATGGAGCACAAGTGTGGGACACATCATGTTGAAGATGTTACCAAGCTCTGAATTGGCTACTGTAGACGGTTACTTAACCCTGAAATCAAGCTGTCCATAGGAGCAGTTATTAGTTCCGGTCCCCAAAAGGGGGAGAGGTAGAGGGAGTTTGAGCATTTGTGGTTCTGCGGTACTGCATAGCCCTTTTGAGCGTGTGAAGTTCATTCGCAGACCTGTTTCGTACAACGGGGTATACAGGCATGAATAAAGCTTCTTCTCAAAGTGAAAATCGATGGATTGACTCCACCTGCTGCTCAAGCACATACAAGAACCTAGCCCAGACAAGAAGGGCAACAAGGGTGATAAACATACGGCAGTAAGTGGTTGGCCTGCGCAACTCTGCAGTCTGCAGACAGCAAGAGCACAATCAGCCAATCGTCATGTCAGGCTATTGGAAAGGAACAGTCAGATAGTGTGGGTATAGTTCTACTGGAAGCATCCTCACCTGCGAGATCGAGAGCAATTTCCACGCCTGAAGCTAGGCACTGCACGGAGAACAAATCCACAAGGGACTCGAGCTCATGCTTTGGATTGAACTCCACTCTATCTAGTTCAAGTTTCCCAGCTTCTACCTGTTTTGAGTGTCACGCAACCCCAGCGCCCCACATCACAAACAAAACTCCAGAAGTGTTGGTCATCCAAGATCAAAATGCTGCGGATGGGGGAAAGGTTGCCTATTCATGGCAGAGCTGATTACAATCACTGGAACATTCATCGCAGGCTTTCTAAACCTGGGCTACCAGCTGGACTGCCCAGTCTGCAATCAGGCAGCCGCGGTGTCCTGTCTCTGCCAGGTCTGGGCAAGGTCCTGAGCAGCCCCAGCACAGACCAAAACAAGGACAATTTGGACAAACAATTATAAAAAATTAAAAAACAGCAAAAACAAAAATGTTGTGCAGAATCGCAAATCAAAAAGCTTTTGGGTGACGGTCACTTGGCCGAGGGTCATTTGGCTGGAGTACCCGGATCGTACCTGTGGGCTGTCTTTCATGTGTGAGGGCCGCTGTCGGCTTTTGAAAAAAAAAAATCCTCATTGTGTCAACAAGGAGTGGTGGAGAATAGGGGTGGGAGCGGGAGGAAACAGGAGTGGGGAGGTGTCCTTGGCCAAAATCATGTATTTCGCTAAAAAAAA